CAGAGTATCGTACAGAATGTCATTATTACTGTAGGACCGTAGGACCACAAAGGCCAAAGCTCGAGTATTTACTATACAGCTACGTGGACTCTTTGAAAAAACAGCAGACGTTCTGCAAATGCGGGGCTCATCGGACATTTTGCCATCTGTGCAGATGGCATGTGCGTTATCCTATCTGCTGTAGGATTGGCTGAGTGTGCTCGCATGCCCTAAGCTCTATGTTTTAATACTTTTGGCTTGCGCGCCTGCGGGAACGCGCCTGCTCCCCCCAAAGCCTTTGCAAATCCACGAAAGAACGAAAGCGTCGATCACGTGCAGCGAATACATTACCGCTTACGACTTGAACCAATCCTGCTGCGGCTACTGTTGCAACTACAGCCATCATTCCGAGTGATACTACAATTATCACTGGGTTAAATTCTGGGTACGACGACTATTACCACTACCACCACCACCACGACTGCTGCTACGACTGCAGCCACTACTACTAGCATCGCTACTACGAGTACTTCTTTCCAGCAACTGCCGCTGCTACTCCTCCTCCTGCTGCTCTTGTTGTTGCTGCCGCCGCAGCCATCACCACAATCACCACCGGGGCGCCGCCGCCGCCGCCACTGCCACCACTGCCACCGACAACAACAACAACAGCAACAGCAACAGCAACAGCAACAGCAACAACAGCAACAACAGCAACAGCAACGGCCACAGCAACAGCAATACCTCCGCGGCCGCGGCCGCCCCCCCACTAGCACCTACTACCACCTCCTCCCGATCAGTGTTCTTGTCAAAAGTGTCACTACGCCACAACATGAAACCAAGTACATCTGTCGTAAGCCTTCACAAGGTCCTCCGAACCGACCCAGAAGAGTCTGGCCTGGCGATGGCCCTTGCAGAGGCTTCCCGGTTGATTTTTGCTCACCCTGAAGGGGCATGTGGGGAGTGGATGTAGGTCTTAGGACCCATTCTAGGGGTATATATATATATGTATGTATAGATTTACATCTATATGAGGAGAGGATGATACGGCGAATGCTACAGGGAATTCGCTCTCCAGCTGCTCCTTTGGCACCAGCACGATATCTGCAGGCATACGGGCTGTCACTTCGCAATGGTTTCTTCTTCCACGCGTAAAGGAGATGCGAGGCATTTTCTGTGTTCCCTCATTGTAGATATTGGTGGCTTCCCATGTGAAAATGCATGATAACGCCAGTTCCATCCTAGCCCCTACACGTGTCTATGCACATTGCACACAACTTGCAGTATAGTAAACGAAGCTCTTCCACTCGCAAACCTATGCATCCAGAGCACGAACGCAGAGCAGTTGTAGCTGTCTCTGCATGGCGGCTCAAAGTCGGAGTGTGCCCTGCCACTGTGCATGCGTTAAGCACATAGTCTAACAGTCAGGAATGCGACATTGCATCTCCAGAGCCATTCACAAGAGCAGCACGTATCGCCAGCTCACATCCATCTCCGTATGCGCTCTTGTAGAGGACAAGAGGTATTGGTATTGATTGCCCTGCTGAATTTTGCTAGCTATCATCCGGCGACCTGCGCTGCTGCAGCGATGGCCTTCAAAATTGTTTCTGTGTCAAAGGCAGCAACTATCAAAGAGCTGTGTGAGGCAAATGGCTTGCCGTACTCCACCGGCTGTGGCTACTACAAGCTTGAGCGCAAAGAGAAGGTATCTGCTGGTAAAGACCTTGTTGCCCACAAACCTGGAAGGCAGACAAAGTTTGTTTGCGGTAGCACCGAGGCGCCTCTGCCTTGCAACAGTTTGGAGTTCAGTTGAGGGTCGTTAATATTTTCATGCTACCATTGCTGAGGATATTATTCGCTTTGCCACTCCGACTCCCATGATGCCATTCGCACTGGGTTCTTCGGAAGGGATCCACAGTTGTATGCCAGTTTCTAGAGTCTCCGCAAGAGGTCCAGATAACCAGTCAGCGTTCGTCCCCTGTCACAAACCAAAAAGATTTAAACCCTAAACCCCAAAACTGTGATTTGCCTAGGATTAAGTCTAAGGGTCCATGTACCCAATAATTGGATACTTACAATAGTAATTATCGTACAGGTTTTGGGTAAGTATATGATTATTGGGCCCCTAAACCCTAAACCCTAAACCGCAATACTTGGACCCTTAGGGTAAGTCAACCCCTGGGAGTCCTAGATGCCGAGCCCGAGACCTTGGAGAAAACAAGTAGTATAGTCCCCCTTAAGTAGATAGAATATGGCTTTGGGTATATTATAATAAGATCCCCATATACCCCATATTCTATCTACTTCAGGGGGACTATAAGTTGTCGAGAGTAAACCCTAAGCCCTAAATAGTAGCTTCCATGTTCTTATTCTTGTCCATTATGCCTATATAACCGCCATGTAACCCAAAACCCTCCAGAATTTCTATGGACTCCTGTCTTTAAAACAAGGTGTGCTCGCGAGTGTCTTGTGTTGTTTTTTACTAAAGGTCCAAGTCCCTAATAATCATATACTTTAGGGTTTAGGGTTTACGGGTTTAGGGTTTGGGGTTTACGCAAGACCTGTACTATAATTACTATTACCCTACACCCAAGTACCTAATCGTTGGGTACTTGGGCGTTCTGGGTTTTGTTGGATTACTCCCCTCACCCTTGTCATGAAACCCCTCAGCCGAGCCTTAGCCCCTCATTTTTGCAGTGCAGTGCCATTGATTATGCCTGAGGAGCTAAGTTTATAGAGGATACTCACTTTGGCCTTAAAGCCGTTAAAGAGTATTTACTATGGGCTATGTTAGGGGAAGATACAAACTTAGAGGGTGCCTAGGCCTCATACGTACTTGCAGTTGCCATGTGATAAGTCTTACCGCGTTAGGGGGGACTTTAAAAGAAGCCTTCTTTAACATCATGTACACCAAAAAAGTCCGAGTCTCCCTAAGAAACACCGTGTATAGAAGCCTTATAAAATTACTGTAAGCCACACGCACAAATCTGATATTTCCCTGAGGCAAGGAAGGCGCTGGGTTTGGGTTCTGGCAACATCGCGGTGTCTCCCGAGGAGATTCACCATTGAACGAGGGCACACACCTAACAGGATTTTTCCTAAAACTGAAGTATGACACTTGGCACTGTGCCAGAGTTAGGATTGTTTACCGTACTATAAAATCTGATTCCTCAGTACAGAACCCCAAAGCAGCAACCATAGTTGGAACACAATTCATGCGGCAAGGGTGTTTGGGTGTGGAAGGCCACGAACACTGACTATTTGGAACAAGGTCCAATTCGAATAGACCTTGACACCTGCTCGGATGCAATTTCCATGGCCGTCCCAACGACTACCCTTGATTTAATCCACACGCATGTTCTGCAATCATATGGAGGTTAGTAGAGAATCAGGGAATATAATCTCTCCATAATCCCAATATAACCCTCAGGGTCCAAGTACCTAGTGATCATATATTTCCCCAACACCTGTACTACAACTACTATTGCCCAAACCTTATGTACCCAATTATTGGGTACATGGACCCTAAAATCTAGATATCCTTATATATCCCTATACATCCCCTTAAAGGGACCTAATTATTGGGTACATGGACCCTTAGGGTAATGTTCAGCAATTCTATGCCACGACCACGGCGGAAGTTCCCTGAACATACTTTACAATTTTCTGTTACTGTAGACCCCTGATTAATAACCCCCCTCCTTTTGGAGGCCTTAATATGAGGATCCCTATTATCATTAAGGGTAGGGCTTTTCTTATCGTGGGTCTACATCATCTATGATTCCAAGAACGCGCTGAAATTATGACTTCTACAAGGGTGGCAGGGAACTTAAAGCATGGGCCTCAAGGCCACGGGCCTCAAGCCCCCAACCCCACAGCCCTTGTTCATGCAGTTCGAAGCGTACCCTCCCTCCTGGAGACTAATCATTCTGGAGCAGATCCTACCTGGACGCCAAAAGTTTGTGAGGTGCGTACTTCCTATCGCAGACGCTATATACCACATACTTCAATGCTTAAGCTTGCAAGAGGGGTGCCGACACATACGCCAATGCCTGCCAGGAGTTAAAATCCGGTTGGAATCTGTACGTGCAGTCCACGAGCAACTTGATGGCAGTGTAGGTGGATCCGCATTTGTTTGAGGATTTGTTGCCCTAAGGGTCCAGATCCAAATAATAGGGTTTTAGGGCCCTTAATAATGTAGTATTTGGACCCTAAAACCCTATTATTTGGGTCCTTGGACCCTTAGGGTTGGGTATTCGGAGGTTAGGAAATGTCTCCTTCAGGCTTGCTCAAAGGTTACAGCGGCTATTGGCGGGATATGCTGCAGCTTTAGGGATTCAAGAATTTAACGTTGGACTCAAGTAAAACTGTTGTTTTTTTTGCGGTACACATTTTTGGGAGGCCGTGTTATAGTAAGGGCCCCGGAAGGGAGCATGATTTTGACCACCTACCAGATCCTGCGCGGGAGTGTGCTACCCTTCAGAGTGGGTGCCATGCAAGTGCAAAAGCATCGAGGGGCCTATCTGGAGTAGGACAATATACAGGGCCTGGAGGCTTTATACCGCCTTCCTATGGTAGATGTAATTTCTTGGGATTTGTCTACGGTAGCTGATTGTAAAATTCGTCCGCGTAACGTGTCAAAGCATGAGATCTTGAGTATCCTAAGCCCGCAGAGGGCAGCATAAGTAATCCCGCACTCTGATTGGTTTTGAGGGACCTCAGGGCTTAGGGTTTAGGGCATAATTTGGATCCTTGGGCCAAAGCTGATGACTGAAAGGAAGGTTTTCACATCTCATGTGTCGTGCGTGCTTGGTTGGAGTGTCTGGGCTTGAAGCTGCATGCGTGATGTTATCCCATGAATGACGATCAGCCAGCACTCGGTGGTGATAGACTGCCTTTGTCTGCTTCAGCTGGTCATCCGGGAGTACCCTAAACCCTAACCTAAACCCTAAACCCATGACCTTATACCCGCCTCCACATGTCCCTCACCTTTTTGCCCGCTATCTTGTGGAAGCCCAAGAAAGGCAGCAACAGAAAGCTTCCAAGTGGCTGCTCGGCCTTGCTGAAGAAGGCTGAGGCAAGAATCCGACAGGATGTTAATCTCCCAGAGGGTCCAGACACCATTATTGAGTAAGGACCCTGCGCAGCCATACTAGAGAAGGACTTATTGGCCCGAATTTTCTAATATATAGTTGTATATGTGGGGGTGACTCCCTGGGCTTCAATCCAGTTTAAGTTGTTCCATTGTTTAGAATTTGGAGAGGTTCCATGTTCGGCATTTTTCGTAACAAGAATCCACCTATTTTTGACTTCTGTAATTTGCCACGATGCCGGTGCTGTAGTGTGTAGGGTTGACGACGTGCGGTTAGCTGGGAGAACTGAATGCGGAGCCTCGTGCGTGTTCTAAGGTTTAGGTTTTAGAGTCAAAGATCCCCTAGGTCATAGGCTTGTCCTGTCTCACACTCAGCTGTAACTGCATCCCTTGACAAGCTAAGGGTCCAAGTATGTGCGAACCCCATAAAGCAACCTACAGCTCACGCTGCAAACGTTGTAGGTACCTACAGTTATTGGGTTTAGGCTTCAGGGCTTAGGCGTTACTTGGACCAGAAACCCTGGACCCGAAACAGCAGACCAAACCATATACCTTGGGAGGACCCCCTGGTATAATTGGAATATAAGAGGACCCTAATCCCTAAGGCTCTCAGATAGGGTTGAGGGTTTGGGCTCCTGCATAGGTAGTCTTGACTCAAATAACTCACTATTAGGTATTTGTACCTTTAGGTCTACCTGGGCCCCCGAAGTATGTATTAAAACTGCCGCGTTTGACTGGGCGTTGGGCCATCATTCTGCTTTAAGCTCTAAACCCTGAACCCTAAAGATCCCTAAACCCTAGATCCTAAACCCTAAATCCTAAACCCTATACCCTAAACAACTTCGTGCGTAGGCCGCCGCCAAGACGGCTGCTGGACCACGGAAGCGCCCTGCTGCAGCGGAGCCAGCCAAGGCAAGCAAAGCCGCCAGGAGCTCACGGGGTTTAGGATTGAGGGTTTAGGATTTAGGGGATTCAGGATTTAGGGTTCAGGGTTTCGGATTGAGAGTTAAGGGTTCAGGATTTAGGATTTAGGGTTTAGGGTTTAGGATTTAGGGTTTAGGGTTTAGGATTTAGGGTTAAAGGTTTAGGATTTAGGGTTTAGGGTTTAGGGTTTAGGGTGGAACAAGAAACACACCCCACCCCCTAATACACAATGATGTCATGACGCAGCGTTTGTTATTGTCGGGCGAGGAGGGCCC